CGTCTACAAAATTAAACGCCGGTCCTAAAGCCAGTTTAGTTCGAATGGTTTTTAATTAATTTAATTTTTATTAGTATTCTATAATTATTAAGGTAACTGCAGCTTGCGTTATCTCACAATTCTGACTTTCTCCGAATTTCTAAATTTATATTTTGCAATTTGGTTTTTGCTTCAGCCACGGAATAAAAAAAATAATAATTTCCCTCGCAATTGCAAGTTTATATTTAGCAAATTCTGACTTTTTTTTTTCCTCGCAATTCTGAGTTTATATCTCACATCGTCTCAGAATTATGAGACAAAAAGACAGAATTATAAGATATAAACTCGTTTAATCGTGAGACACAAATGGTCTTCCACAGTTTCCACACTTTGTTAGTTTTAGTTACAGATTTTATAAAAATATATTTAGTGCTGTTAAATTTAACACAATTACTCTGTTCAAATGTCTAGCCATTTTCCCATATTGTCAGATGGGAAAATGAGCTCAAGTAAACCACAAGACTACATGCCAAAAACACATGAGTCTGGATCATGTGCTGGTTTCTGCTGATTTAAACCATGCAAGGTATGTTTCTCCTGTTTCCTAAGCTTTAATTTCCTTTTTAAATAAGTAACACAAAGTGAATTGTTCAAATCACATGACTTACAGTGACATAAAGGCACCTAAAGCTCTTATGACAACGGTTAACTTGCATTATCTGGTAATCAAAGCCTAAGAAAGACTGAAAACAGAACTACATTTCAGTGGGTGTCAGTCATTGCTCTTAAAAATTACAGGATCTTAAAGTCTTGAACTATTTTATGAATGCAGGTAGGAAGCAACAGAAACCATGTCACATGCATGACATGACACAACCGGACCTGATGGTTCGCAGTACCATGATACGGTCACAAGACAGTATCATGGGGAAGTTGTGGCCTAATGGTTAGAGAGTCGGCCTCGTAACCCTTGCGGGTTTGAGTCTCGTACCGGCAGGGATTGTAGGTGGGGGGAGTGAATGTACAGCGCGCTCTCCCATCTTCAATACCACGACTGAGGTGCCCTTGAGCAAGGCACCGAACCCCCAACTGCTCCCCGGGTGCCGCAGCAAAAACACTGCTCCGGGTGTGTGTTGCGCACTTTGGATGGGTTAAATGCAGAGCACTAATTCCTAGTATAGGTCACCATACCTGGCCACATGTCAAGTCACTCACTCAAAGAGCTGAGTGTACAGAATTAGTTCAACTGACCAGTGTGTATATGTAAAGTAGGTCAATCAATATCTACTCCATGTACAACCACTTGGTCAAATGTAATACTTACAAATAGTGAGTAAGGCTCCCCTGTTTCTGTAATGCCCCCAGCCATCTCCGAAAGATTACCACCCTGAAGAAAGAAAAGTCTGGTTTAATATTTAATACACCACAATTTTGCCAAAGGGACATGAGTAACGTTAGGCCAGAGTAGCATGACTAGTGTCAACCGTTGTTTATGTTATATTCACTCAGTGGTCACAGAATATGGCAGATTTAAAAAGGATGTACTGCATTTCTTAATGTCTCTACGATGCTTTGTGTGACAGTCTCACCATAGTGATATCATACTCGGAGAGAAAACTTTTTCAAATCAGTCAGATAGCTGAAAGTAAAGGCTCACCTGTCACCGACTGTGGTTATAACGTTAGTTAGAAATGAACGAGGCGTTAGAAATGAATCAGCGACGCAGCTCGCGAGCAAATGCGACGTAATAACTCATTAGCGGATAATTAAGACAGGCTGCATTAGTTCTTCTGTTTGGGAAAACATATCTATTAAAATTAAACCGCACACAGGACGCCAGCAGAAAACGGCTCCTGCGGAAGTGGGTGGGGCGTAGCAGATCAGAAGTGTTTGCTGATTGGTTGGTTGGATGAAAAAAGATTTTACGTTATTCGGCCATGTGCGATGTACAACTTCAGTATTTTTTATTTTATTCTATTCGTTGCAAATATCTTATCAGTGCACTCTGATCACTAAGATTTTACATTGGTTTAAAGAAGTCTCATGCTCATCAAGGCTGCATTTATTGAATCAAAAATACAGTAAAAAGATTAATATTGTGAAACCTAAAAGAACAGTTTTCTATTTTAATAAGACGTAATTTATCCCTGCGATGGCAAAGCTGAAATTTCAGCATCATTACTCCAGTCTTCAGTGTCACATGATCCTTCAGAAATCATTCTAATATACACTTACCTTTACTTTTTTTACAGGATTCCTTGATCAATACAAATCTGATTAGGACACTGATTTGTAATCACTATGCTAGTGTTAATAATACTGTGCTAAAATGGGACTTAATGTAACAATCTTACCTTATCCGAATTCATAAAACATTTAGACAATTTCCATATAGAAAGGGGGCTGAGTGATTTCAGTTGTCATACTCTATGGATTTTAATTATTTGGGAGAAATGTGATTGGCATTCAATTAAGTGCACAATAATGTCACTAGCACATGCATTTGGGTTTCTGTTTCTAGACAACTGTCAACATCTAAACAGCTGAAGGAGAAAAATCAGAGACCACGCTTTGACAGAAAATGTTTATTTCCCCATTCAGAGAATTTGAAGAAAGGTGATTAGTGAAAAAACAACAGCCAAACTGAGGACTGGGAAGGGTGAGGAAAACATCATAATGCTTCAGCAGACTTTCTGAAAATCATAAGCTAAACGCATTTCTCCATCGCAAATAAACTAAAAAAAAAAAATTCTTTAAAACAAAAAGAAAGCAAAAAGGAAAACTTTTAAAGTCTAAAAAAAAATCTTTGTGCAAGTGCACAAAACAAAATACATTAAACACAAACAAAAATACTTAAATCGATTTTAAATAAAATGCAAAAGTAAAAAAAAAAATTAAAGATAAGGTCTTGGTGGAACACAGGTCTACTTGGCAGCATAATGTCATTACAGTAACAGGAGCAAATGCATCAGTGCATTAATCATTTAGAAAGTGAGGCTTTCCATTTGACGTTTTAGGTAACCAATTCTAAATACAGCATGATTTCAAAATCTGACCACACAATATTTTAATATCCACTTTGCATTTTAAGGTTAAACTTGAGTTCTCTTACCATGAATTAAATGTCTAACAGGATTGCTTATCAAATCTGTGAAATACATCTAAACGAGGGGGGGAAAAAAAACCCTGGCGGGTGGAGCAGCTTACAAAAATGTATTCGTTTTAAAAATGAGATTGTCAGAGCTAGTGTTTAATAATGAGAGAATAAACCTTAGATGCAACTGTCATTCGTAGAGATGAACGTGCATATTGCTTAAACAGGCATTTAAAACCACGACAACAGCTAAAATATGTTCTAAACAACTAAAAATACGGGGGGGGGAAAGATTTGGGTAACCTCTCCTAAATTCTAAACCCCTTCGACACAGAATGATGTACTTCCAATGACATATCCTTGAAATCAAACGTCTACTCGCTAACACCGCGCTCCTCATTACTGCGTTTTCCCACAATTCATTAGTCTGTCTAGTACAAGGACAGCTGCATATTGTGTAGACTGGAGAATCTTACCACATTAACATGCTATTAACACAGGTTAGTTCTCTTTGCTAAAATTATACTCGTGTTAAATTTAAGCTCATTAAAGAAACCGCTTTCTTTTTCACGTGATAATTAGATTGTCCTTACACAAGCCAAGCATTCTTACTCTTAACAACAGCTTTCATAACTTCACTAGATTCCCATCTTTGAGGGGGAAACCGACAGTCCTTATAAGAGAAAGTGCATATCAATAATGCCACTAACTAAAGTTCCTTAAGCATTATAGTTATTTAAATCCCTATCATTTATTTTAAAGCAGCAGAGGCAAAAACTCGATCTCTACAGTGAATTTTTGGTGCAGGATCAATCTTTACGTAACGTTTGCAACACAAAAAGGAATAATAATGCTTAAATACAGACTGCAGATCACAGCGATCAATTACTTGTCATTTTATCAAGACACCTCATTGCCTTTCTTGCTATGCGCGTTTTAGATTAGCAAAAAGTAAAGCGAAAACAAAACAAGGTATGTGCGTAGCGAAACATTACGTGACCTAAATCAGCAACTCCATTATGATTCCTTTACTGGCTACAGCAGAATTATCAGCAATAAATGAAGGAAGCCGTTTTTTTCGTGGAATGAAAAAATAGCTCGATGCAATATGGAGCCGTGGAAAGAAATGAAGCAGGCAGAAAATTCAGAAATATGTACTTATGTCATAATGGTTGCATGCTTCTGTCATTAGCCAACCCTAAGAACTTGTTTTATGATTAGCAGTTTTTCAAACGAAAGTGCACCCAAAAATGAAAATTTTCCATGAAACACAAAAGCTGATAGTGACTTTAAAAGGTACAAGTTTTCACTAAGAAAAACGTATGCCGTGTCACTTTTAGCGAATAACTACTTAACTTCAGCCAGTTTCTCGAGCAAACCTTTGCATGGCTTCAGGAGATTGGGAAAACACTGCATAAGTATACTTTAAAATCAGAACTTTTGTCCTATTTGCAGCTATAATGCACTTTTTGTTATATATGTAAAAAGAGTAATTGTGCTATTCGACATCTTAAAGATGATATACACTTGTTTTGAGACGTTAGCTTGAAAGTTTTTATTTTCGGGTGATCTGTTGCTATAAGAAAACAAATTTTGTTTAGGCACAGTCTGCCTTAAGCATGCATGCCGCTCGTTGCGGTTTGTGTGTGTGCTTTTGGCATCTAGCTGAGAAGCCAGACTTTGCTAAGGCTGGACTACTGAATGGCGTCGTTTTGTCCAATAAGCAGCTGGTGAATCTTGCCTGAACGAACCCTCCCTCCCGATCAACATCCCTGAGCTACAGTTTTCATTCCCATTCGGAGCAAGTCAGAAGCCAAACTGTGACAGTAAAAAGGTTGATTTCACATTAACTCTCTTTCGAATCCTCTTGCACAGAGCTGGAGGAAGCGGGATCGCTCCAGATCACAAACCGTCACACGTCGACGTTAGCTTGAAAGTTTTTATTTTCGGGTGATCTGTTGCTATAAGAAAACAAATTTTGTTTAGGCACAGTCTGCCTTAAGCATGCATGCCGCTCATTGCGGTTTGTGTGTGTGCTTTTGGCATCTAGCTGAGAAGCCAGACTTTGCTAAGGCTGGACTACTGAATGGCGTCGTTTTGTCCAATAAGCAGCTGGTGAATCTTGCCTGAACGAACCCTCCCTCCCGATCAACATCCCTGAGCTACAGTTTTCATTCCCATTCGGAGCAAGTCAGAAGCCAAACTGTGACAGTAAAAAGGTTGATTTCACATTAACTCTCTTTCGAATCCTCTTGCACAGAGCTGGAGGAAGCGGGATCGCTCCAGATCACAAACCGTCACACGTCTTTGGCTCTAACAGCAGGTAGTTCCCACAAACAGACATGGATGAGTTCCCCAGTAACCCTCCCGTAGATTTGACCTGCAAATAAGAACAATGTGTTCAACCACATGGCAAAAGCTGCTTTGGTTTGATGTTTTACGTTATCACTGAGGCTCTTCTCACCTAATAGTTGGTTCCCATGTCAGCAGGGGCGGCGTCTACACACCATAGCAGGCTGAAAGCCTCTCCTTCAGCAGCGGTGGAAACTGTTCAGAGAACTGCTGCCAGTTATCCCCACCAACCTGGTCCTTGAAGCCGTGCAAAATCTAGACAAGAAATGGACAAAATCTGTTGAAGCATAGCAGACAACTGTGCTTCTATCTTGGCCAACCGTAAACCCATCAAATCAAAGTTGTTAGTTACAGAAGAGTATTTGAACCTTGTAGAACATGTCCCTCAGATCGTCTTTTGGATTTACCCAGGAGGCCACAGCGTCACAGAAAAAGATGAAGTCCTGCATCCAAAAAAAAGTTGCATTAAAGCCAAACTGTATTCTTTAGCCCAACAACTCAATTTATTGTTTTTGTTTGTTTTTTAGATAACAAATTATTTTTCCATTTCATGGTAGTTAGTACATAAAATGCAGAGAAAACGCACATTATATATTTTTTTCTGATATTGTTATACAGTATGGAACGTTAAGCCCAACTCACTATTAGAATTTATTTATTTAAATTTAATAAATTATATTAATTCTATTTATATTTTATGGTAGTAAGTACATAAGAGAATACAGAGAAAAATTATACACAAATTATGTAATTATATTTATATTGGTTTTATTTTTTGATATTGCTACAGAGTATGGAAACTTTAGCCCAAAAACCCAATTTATTATTTACATTTATTTTAATTTAATAAATTATATATATTCTTATTTTAAGCACATAAGAGAATGTAGAGGAAAAAGACAAATTATATTTATATTGCTTTTGTTTCTGATATTGCTATACAGTATGAACGTCATTACATTTAGACAGTAAAAGAGCTAAATTCAACTTATTTTTAAATTGTTCATTTAAAATAATGAAGTTAAATAAAAATATCAATTTACCTTACATTTTCTAGTGTGATTTTATTGTATTTATTCTAATGATTGGGTACATAGATTTTGCTATGGGCAATAAATGTATTAAATCACATCAAATAAATATAAAAATGTATAATAACTCGGCTCTTAAATTGCATAACAGATTTGGTCTTGAATGATTTCCCCTGTATCCTCTCACCTGTACGACTCCTCCAGGATTTACCCCAATCATTACGCAAATGCCCCTGAAGGCCGAGTCTTTCTCTTCATTGTCCCGAATGTTTCTAAGTGACGTGCACCTGCGTTGAAAAAATAAAGAGAGCCGTTTATTTCAGAAGTTTAGTAGATTTTGTAGTTTAAATCACACTAATTTAATCAACATCTCACCAAGGGCGAACGAACTGTGGCAACATGGGGGCAACTTCCTGTGGGCACACATATCCCAGCCGACCAATCGTAATGGCTGTTTCACACACACACCAAAAAAAACAACAAAAAAAAGGTACAAGGGCCATGAGTGTGTTAAGCTAAAAAATGGCTGCAGTTACAGCTATAGAAATCAGAACACCACTTTCCACAGATAATTCAGGTTTCAAATGTCTGTTTTGGAGTTCATCATACCTTTAGTGTGATTTTATGCAGTATGCTTGCTGTATGCATTTACCTGTGTTCTCCAGCAGAGTTTTGGGTGTATTCGGTCTGTTGATGATCTCCACAAGGTTATTGAGAACCAAGGCCACAAACGGCTGCATCTCCGTACCTGGAAAAACACCAGACATACAAATTAAATATCAAGTAGCTGTCCAAATTTACACAGGACAGACGTTAAAGGCTACAAAAGAAAGACATGGTCCAATTTAAGATCCGTTATTTTGGTCTGAAGGCTGTATTTTCTTTAACATACCTGCAGGCGGCCTCCTGAACCCTCTTGTTGCTGTCGAGGATGCGTTTGAGCAGCTCGGTCATGAGGGGTTTGAGGTAGGAGTCTGGCGGCTGGCTGACCACCCAGTGTGCATAGCGGCTCAGAGTCCAGCAGGCGATGGAGCGGACCAGCGCTTTCTTATCACAGAGACACTGGATCAGGTGAGGAATCAACTCCGGCAGGTACAGAACCATATCCTGCATACAGCCTGAGGACAAGAGAGACGAGGAGCTCAAAAAGGTCATACTTGCATACAAACATTTTTGCAGGATATACACTGATGTTCAAAAGTTCAAGGTCAGTAAGACTTAAGGGGATTTAATTTAATACACCCTTACTGAATAAAGTAAAAAAATCTATTTTAGAAAATATTTCCATTTCAAAATACTTATTCATTTAATTCTGAAAGTGTTTTCACAAAAATATTAAGCAACCGTTTTCAACAATAAATTATTTTGAACATCAAATCATTATATTAGAAGGATTTCTGAAGGATCATGTGACACTGAAGACTGGCGTAATGATGCTGAAAATTCAGCTTTGAATATTGTTGTTTTAAATTGTAGTATTTCACAATACTTTGATCTTTGAAAAAAAAAAATCTTA